ATCAAGAGGGTTCTGCGTCTTACTGCCTCTTAGTTTTGGCATTGATGGATACATCATTCAAAGTGACCGTGCTGCACACAGGCAAGCACCAAAATGCTGTTATGTTGACAGTGAGGCCTCTGCAGACGCAGCACATAAAATGGGTCACTACCGCAGTTATTTCAGTTACACAATTCCAGTGTGACTGCCTTTCTTTTTCCTTGCCCTTGAAGTCACTTGAATGTAAACAAGTAAAACTAAGGCAAGGGGGTAACAAAATCAGGATGAAGAATGGAGAGGGGAAAGGAAAGCATCCCACAGCACTGGGCTGGAGACTAGCATCCTCACAGCTCCAGCCAGCTGGTTCCCCAGAGCTCTGATCCTGGAGCTGCTGCAGAAATAAAGACCCATTGAGAAGTCTGGCTCCAAATTAGCATTTGAATTCCCTTATAGTCTGTTGTCAGATGGGCAGGAGGTGGGTGCTAGTCTCGGTCTCTCAGTACTGATACACAAAGGTGGCTTTAAAAGGTCCTTATTTTTCTGAGGGAAAGAAATGCATTGCTGAAACTATGGACACTTTGTGTTTTCCTTTTTTTTTTCCCCTTTTTTTTTCCTTCTCTTTTCTCTCTCCCTTTCTCCTCTGTTTCATCCCCTTTCCTGAATTTCATCCCCTTTCCTGAATTTCATCCCCTTTCATCCCCATCCTGAGCTGTAGATAGACAAGTCTGGGTATTGTAGCCCAGTCTGACCTACTTCTTTCCCTCCCCTTGGCCCTGTGTTATGGATGCTGGTGCTATGGAAACCTGGGTGACATGCCAGTGCCACAAAGCCGGGGCCACCAGCTGCACCCTCCTCTCCCAGCCCCACAGGCCCTTCCCCTCCCACATACACCCCCAAAGAAAGTTAGCAGTGCTGCTTCCTGGGGAAATTCAAGGGTGTGCTCCGTCCACCCCACCAAGCCGTGCTCCAGCGGGACCGGGTTGCTGTTCCTCGAGCTCGGGAGAAGGGTGCATTTTTCCCTGGTCCCAGGGCACAGCGTTTCGGTGCTGGAGTCACGTGTAAACCTGCTGGTGTCTGCACATGAGACCTGTCTGTGCACGTATCCTGCACAGGCTATCACATGATGGTAGGAAAGTACACGTGGGCGCCCTCGAAGTTTTCAAGACAAAAATAAGGTACGAAGTTCTGCAACGCGGTACAAAAGCCTTACAGGAACCTGGGTAGGTTCCTATGAACACAGATATGGGAACACATGTGCGCCGGCTACCCCTGCAGCAGATGGCAGTTGCTTCGTCGGGGGACAGAGCTGTGCACTTTCATCGTCACTCGTTTGCTCGTGCGGGAACAAGCCACATCAGGGACGGAGGCTTGTTTACAAGTTCAGCCCGTGCATTTCTTGTGATAAAAAAGTTCTCACTGGTTCTGCAGGTTTCCTTTGCTCTCTGCTGGCCTCCCGTCTGGCTGCCTGCTTCGCCTGGGAGGCTGTGGCAGTATCAGAGTGGATTTGCTTTCAGATATCTGACGCCAAACCTTTTCCTCCCTGTTGCTGACGCTGAACTGGCAGCTGTAAGGGGAAGAAGCAGGAAGGAGCCCGGGAATCCGCAAAGCGCTTGCAGGGGGCTCTTAGGTCTGCTGTAAGCCGTCTCCAGGAGATTTCTGCGAGGCTCCAGGACTCCCCCACCCCAATAACCTTAATACCAGGGCCTGGCCCAGCACAGGCAGAACTTGAAGCAGGAGGGTTTGTGCGTGAGGGCCGCCACGGCTCTGCGTGCAGGCAGCCTGCGTGACAGCTGCCCTGGCCGCCTCCTGGGGTGCAGCAGCGGACGCCCCTGGCGCAGGCCGCCGTCCC